CCAGAACGATGATCCAGACTGCTCCTCGATGGCCCTCGCCCAAAAAAAACTGCACACGTCCGAGCGATGCCAAGCCCCCCCCGCTCTCACACCCCCAGCTGGAGCCAGCCCTCTCGGGGCGCCTCCCGCCGCCGCCCGCGGCGCCTCCTCCGAGGGGCGCCGTCGGGGGAGGAGGCGCTCGCGGCGGGGCAGACCTCGCCCCAGGGGACGCCCCCCCCGCCTATCCCTCCCCCTCCGGCCCACCCTCCCACCCTCATCCCTGCAGAGGAGGACAGGGGGACGGCGACGAGGATGCGGTGGAGGCCGGGGAGGAAGAATGAGGTGCCTTCCCCCTCACCCTGACCTCCTCCCCCTCCTCCGCCTCCTCCTCCTTCTCCTTCTCCTCCTCCTCCTCCTCCTCCCTGCCTCCTCCTCCTCCTGCTTCTCCTCCTCCGCCTCCGCCTCCTCCTCCTCCACCTTCTCCTCCTACTCATCCTCATCCTCAACGTCCTCCTCCTCCTCATCATCCTCCTCATCAACGTCCTTCTCCTCCTCCTCCTCCTCCTCCTCCTCCTCCTCCTCCTCCTCCTCCTCCTGATCCTATCGAACGCATCAAAAACTACACTTAGCAAAACTCCACCCAGTTGCGGGGACCAGGGGGGGCAATCAAAATTCGGTTAGGCGCGCTGGTCGGTCTGGGTGGACGGGCACCGCCTCGCGACCTACGACGGGGAGCGCTGGTCATGCGAAACACGTGGGGCGCCAAGCGTTGCAACTATCAGCATGTTTCACGGCGGGGCTAAGCGGCTGCTGCAACAGGAAATGATAACGCGAACTGCCGCTTCATCCGTGGAGGGGGGATCCAGCACGGAAAAGAATTCGAAGGCGTGGGGCGTCTGGCCAGGCATTTACTTACGGCACGCATAGAACCGATCGCGGCTACAAAACTTGGCGAGACACGGGGATGAGGTGGAAGTGGAAGGACATAATGAAAGAGGCTGCTAAGGCACGGAGACACGAGACGAGGGAGGAGATCACGCCTGAGGCAAAGCGGCGCCCCAAAGCACAGAAAACACTGGGGTCATCATACTGGGGCAGAGGCGGGGAAGGGCAGCGGGCAGTGCGAGGCGGAAAAGGACAGCGGCCATGCAGGTGGTTTCGCTGAGCCTGAGGAAGTGGGAAGTCGGCGGGGAGCGGCCCTGGGGACGGGGCCTCGGAGATGGGCAACACGGGCAGCCGATGCTTCGCCAGAAGGGGACACGCACAGAACTACACTTAGCGGCCGGGGCACGGTACACGTCGGGAGCGCGAGTCGCGCCCCCGACATGTACCCCGCCCCGCTGGCTAGGTGTAGTTATATGAGTGCTCTGTTTTGTGAGGATGTCCCTGGCGAAACCAGCACGTACAGAACTACACCTAGCGCCTGGCTCAGTGTAGTTCTGAACGTGCTGGATGTCTCGAGCGGGGCGAGCACGTATAGACCGGCACCTAGCGAAAGTGGCAGGGTACAGGTCGGGGGCGTCGCCGCGCCTCCCCGCAGAGTCAGGGGGGCAGGGGCCACTGAAATCCCAGCCGCCCTCAGGGCGGCGGAGGCTGGACGTCCCAGGGATGCCCGAAAGGGACCCAACTGCGGCCAAGGGCACGCAACGAGGTCCCTGGGGGCCCCAAGAGCGCTCCACGACCTCCAGCCGCAATCTGAAGTCGTAGCGTCTTGGGGGTCTCCTGGAGCGCTTGGCGGGGTCTTGGATTCTTCCTGGGGCGCTCGGGAGGTCCCAGGAGCGCACCTGCTCGCCACGACATCTGGTCTCGATCTGGAGGTCGTGGCGTCTGGGGCCCCCGTGGGGCGTTTTGGGGGCACTGGGGGGTCCTCCTGTAGCCCATCATGGGTCCCACGAGCGCTGGTGGTCGCTACGACCTCTGACCTTGTTCTGGATCCCTCCATCCTCTTTGCCCCCCCCGTGATCAGGGCAACTCGCCTGGTGACGATGTTTCGAGGATTTTAAAAGATGTGCGCGCTCCGCCTCCGCCTCCTAATCGCGAGTTGTTATTTCTGATTCCACGCCGACTCTGGCTAGCGACGTCGAGGCCCTCGCAAATCCGACAAACGCGATGACCCCCCTCGAATGGCGGGCAAAACAAACATTGGAACGATAGCCCAAAATTAATTTTGAAATTTCGGGATCCGCCAGAGAAACTAATCCACTCGCCCAAAGTGTAGCTCTCTATCTGTCCGATCCTAATCCTGATCCTAATCCTGATCCTCCTCCTCCCCCTTCCTCCTCATCCTCCTCATCCTCCTCATCCTCCTCCTCCCCCTTCTCCCCCTCCTCCTCCTCTTCCTCCTCCTCGTCCTCCTCCTTCTTATCATCGTCGCCCAGTGCTCCTCCACATCTCCTCTCCTCCTCTCTACTTTCTTCTCCCTCATCTCCTGGACTACTGTGGGTGAAGCAGGGCCGGAGAGAGTTAGGAGGAGACGAGGAGGAGACGAGGAGGGAGGATGGACGAGGGGGGGAAGAGGGGGATGAAGGGAAGGGAGGGAAGAGGAGCAGCCGAGGACGAAGAGAGAGCGTCCCTTCTAGAGAGGGCGCTCCATCTTCCTGGGTTCCAACTGACTACGCATACGTGTCCGTGTCGGTCCTGCCACGCGATGGACGGCGCCTTACAGATCTCCTCAAGCAGCACGCCGATGTACTCAATAATCCTGGCGGGTTTCTGCGACGAGGAGCAGCAGCAGCCGCAGCAGCAGCCGCAACAGGGGCACGTGGAGGAGACGGCGGAGGAGCAGCAGCAGAGAGGAAAAGGCGGAGGAAGCAGCAGCAGCAGCAGCAGCGGCAGCAGGGGGAGGACAAAAAGGAGGATGAGACAGACGACCGACGACGACGACGACGACGGCGGACGACAACGACACGGAAGCCGACGACGACGACGACGACGACGACGACGACAACGGACGACGACAACGGACGACGACGACGGACGACGACGACGACGACGACGACGACGACGACGACGACGACGACGACGACGACGACACGACGACGACCGACGTCAACTACAATAACATCTTCACTGCCCGCGTGAAATTCATCATGGGTACCACAAAACCTTGATACCCGCCCTCCTCGTCTTCGATCGTGCCTCATTTCAGGGTACATATTTATTGCCTGCCATGTGTAGTTGGCACGGTTTCTAAAATAGGAGGGAGAGGGAGAAGGAAAAGAAGGACAACGAGGGAAGGAGGAGGAAGCGAGAAAGGAGGGGGACAAGCGGCAGGGAGGGAAATTGAGGCCGAAGACGAAGTAGCAGGAGGGAGAGAAGAGAGGGAGGAACCAGACTCTTGGTGAGCGGGTCCCGACGGCTTGGTCGGGGCGGGCCGGCCGAGGACTGAGCGGATCGGGCGGGCGGACGCCCCAACGAGCGCGCCGGGCGGAGAGCCTGAAGGCGGGCGGGTGGGCTCCGAGGCAGGCGGACGGGCGGACCCCGACGGGCAGGGTCGGGCCAGCAGATCTTCACGACGGGCGCGTCGGGCGGGCGGATCCTGACGGCCGGGGTCGGGCGGGACTCCGGCGAGCGGGTCGGGCGGGACGCTCGGAGCGGGCGGGGGTGTTTTACGCCGGCGAACGGGCAGGCCCTGAGGGACCGGACGGGCGGGCGGGCTCTGAGAAGCTGGTCGGGCAGGCGGGCCCTGACGGGCGCGTCGGACGGGCGGGGCTTGGAAGCGAACTTTGAAAAATCTGGAGAAGCCTCAGGCGAGAGAACGAAGCCTGAGTAGATTACGAGGAGGTCCCGTGCGAGAGCCCGAATCCTGGGCGTCGAGGGCGCGGCGTCTGAACAGATTGTGAAGAAGTCCTGAGGGAGAGCGCGATTCCTATGTAAAGTGTGAGGAAGTCCTGCGCGAGAGTGCGATGTTCAATCGATTGCGAAGTAGTATCAGGAAGGATTTGTTGTTGTTCTTGTAAGCCAGGGGACAGGGGCGGAGTTTGAGCACGAAGAGCTTCCCTCTGAAAGAAACAGGGTGCGAACCCCGGGGTTGGCACGTCAATTGAAAAGCATCATGGGCAACCAGTGATGGGGGATCAAAAACCATCGTACTTCAGAAGTGAGAACTCAACCGTGACGACGACGGCGACGACGACGGCGACGGAGGCGACGGCGACGAGGGATGGCGGAGGACGACGGACGACGGCGGACGACACGGACGGCGACGACGACGGTCCCTGGAGATCCTCGGCGGTCCCCGGCTTTCCCCGGAAGTGCCCAGAGGCTCGCGAGAGTACCCGTAGGCCGTAGGCCTCTGGATACCACAGATCTTGGCTCCCAGACTCCTCGATCCTCGAAACTCGAACGTCGACGACGACAACGACGACGGCGGCGCCGACGCAGACGACGACGCCGGCGACGATGAGAACAACGACGACAGCGACGGCGTCGACGTCGGCGACGACGACGACGACGAGGAGAACGACGACGACGACGACGACGACGGCGACCACGGCGACGACGACGACGACGACGACGACGACGACGACGACGACGAGGACGAGGACGACGACGACGACGACGACGACGACGACTACGACGGACGACGACGACTACGACGACGACGACGACGACGACGACGACGACGACGACGACGACGACGACGACGACGACGGCGACCGCGGCGACGACGACGACGACGACGACGACGACGACGACGACGACGACGACGACGGCGACGGCGACGGCGACGGCGACGGCGACGGCGACGGCGACGGCGACGGCGACGGCGACGGCGACGGCGACGGCGACGGCGACGACGACCCTGCAGGTCTCGTGCCCTTCCCTGGGGCAGCTCCTCGTTCCAGGACCCACTTCCGAAGGCCCTTGGGACCCGAATGCAGCGCGCCGAGGTCGAAATAAGGAAAACACTAACTGTGCTTCTGTTCACATGGTGCAAGGCGTTCAAGCTGGCCCGGTTGAATGAATTTACTGATGCAAAGCACGGAGCAACGCTTCGCCGGCGATGGCTGCCGCGGCTGCGGCTGCGGCGCGACGGCGAACGATGGACCCCCGCTCTGCAGGCCCCCTCTCTGAGGCAGTCTCTCCTTCTGGACCCCCGCTCCTAGAGGCCTCCTAGATGGGATCCGAGTAGATGAGCGCGCAGCATCGCCGACGCACCGCCGATGCATCGCCGATGCATCGCCGACACATCGCCGACACCGGCGATGCACCGGCGTGGAGAAGCTCGGGCTCCAAATCGCGCCGCATCGCCGATGCACCGGCGATGCACGGCGCCACCCTCCGACCCCCATCTGTTTCGACCCCACATGGGAGGCCTGGAGTTCTGAGGGCCCCCGGGGGCCGAAAGCGGCCCTTTCACCTCGCAGTCATCCACATGTTTTGGTGCGTTGATCCCGTAGCTCGTGCGCGTGCCGCTCGCATCGCGAACCAAGTGCAAGCGGAGCGCGAAGTGGGGCAAACAGAGCGCGAAGCAGACGGCCCAGGGACCGAAGTGTGGAAACGGCAGCTCGGCAGCGGCTGCGGCGGCTGCGGTGGCGACGCCGACGACGAAGACGAGCCGCAGCGGCCCAGCGGAGCTGCGACGGCCGGCGGCGGCGGAAGCGGCGGCGGCGGCGGCTGCGGTCCACAGCGGCGTGACCACCAGGCACGCCTCCGCCAAGGGGGGGGGTCGGCCGCAATTCGCGCCTCCGGCCCTGCGCCCCCGGGCTTACGGCTTCGCTCCTCCTCCACCTCCTCCTTCTACTCCTCATCCTCCTCCTCATCCTTCTCCTCCTCCTCCTCATCATCATCCTCCTGCTCCTCCTCCTCCTCATCACATCATCATCATCATCATCATCATCATCATCATCATCATCATCATCATCATCATCATCAGCATCATCAGCATCAGCATCAGCATCAGCATCAGCATCAGCATCATCATCATCAGCATCATCATCGTATCATCATCATCAGCGGCATCATCATCATCAGCATCAGCATCATCATCATCATCAGCATCATCATCATCATCAGCATCATCATCATCATATTCATCAGATTCATCATCATCATCATCACCATCACCATCACCATCACCATCACCACCACCATCACCATCACCATCACCATCACCATCACCATCACCATCATCATCATCGTCGTCGTCGTCGTCGTCGCCGTCGTCACCATGATCAGCATCCTCATCCTCATCCTCATCCTCATACTCATGCTCATCCTCATCCTCATCCTCATCCTCCTCATCCTCCTCATCCTCCTCCTCCTCCTCCTCTTCCTCCTCCTCGCCCAACCCATCAGAAAGCCCCGCCCGCTTCCTCCTCTCGAGGACCCGCCGTCCGAGAAGCTCAGCCTCGGCCCGCATGGGAGGACATTTTTTTGACATTCGCTTCGGGGGTGAACTAAAGCCCAGGCGCGTTCCTCGGACAGCAGCTGACCCCCAGACATTTGCCTGGGGCGCTGCCGGTTCCGATTCGGCTCCAACGAACCCTGCCCCAGAGGGAGGAGGAGGAGGAGGAGGAGGAGGAGGAGGAGGAAGATGGCTGGAGGAGGCGAGGGGGAGGAGATCAACTGCTAAGCACTGGGGTAACTCACTAATGAGGAATATAAGGAGCAGGCTATCCCTCGTAGCAGTCCGAGTAGCAGTAGGAAGCCCTCTTACGCATCTCAGCCTTGCTAAGCTGGGGTAACAAACCCCATTCAAGCCAAGACAGCTACTCGCTCCTCTGGGGTTAGAGTTTAAATACACACGATGCCGCTAGCTCACGCATAAGAACATGAGCGGAAGAAACACAGACTGTCAAACCTCAACTGTATGGGCCCGTCGGGAGCATCCGAAAACACTGAAGACGTCTCAGAACCGCCGATATTGTGCTCCTCCTCCTCCTCCTCCTCCTCCTCCTCCTCCTCCCCTCCTCCTCCTCCCCCTCCTCCTCCTCCTCCTCACTCCCCTTAAGGACTTGGCCCTCAGACTTGTTCCGGGGGCGCACCCGGACCAGAAATCGGAAGCGGATCCAGCCTTGGCGACGAAGAGCACCCCCGTGGGCCGGAAAGGACTGGGAAAAACGCCCTCAGAACCTGGAGCCTGCATCCCCTGAGATCCTGGCGTTCCAATTTTTCAACAACGGGGTTTTCGCTCAATTTCGGGGCCCGGGACCCTCACAGATCGATCCGGCTCGAAAAATAACGCAGAAAGATGCGGTCTGGGGCGCTGGGCGTGATTTTTTTGAGATGTTGCAATTTTTTGCAACGTCGGATCTCAGGGTCCTCCTTGTCGTCGCCGTCGTCGTTGGACTCGCCTCCGTGATGTTGATGGAGCACATCTCGCGGAAGCGGACGAACTCGTCCCATTCGAAATTCGGCGTCCGCTCCGGCTCCACGGGGTACCTTTTCCGCCGCGGGCAGGCAAGGCCGCGCACCCCCCCCCGTCCGCCAGGCGGCGACGACAACGACGAGAACGACGACGTCGGCGGCGTCTCAGCCTTCCGACAGCCCCGGCACGCCCAAAACGAGTAGGGGAAAATGTGGCACGAGGCCCACCAGCAAATAGTGCCCCGGACTGGCAGCGGTCGCTGTTGAGCAGGCGACCCCTGGATACAAGTAGACAACGTCCGCGGCGAGGCCGACAGCGTGCCCTGCTCAAAGTGGACAACAGCTGCTGTCGGTCCTGACCACCATCCTTTCCGCACCCATGTCGATCTCACCGAAAAGAGGGAACACGAAACAGCAACAACACAACACATACACTTTCGGAGGCGTGTGCGGGTTTCTTCGGTCGGCGCTGACGCCCCTCCCCTGGAGCGCGGAGCACGCCAGGGGGCGGCGCCGCAGGCGCCACCAGCGGGGTCCCAGGAAGAGACGCGTGTCTCATTCTTCGTGGAAACCTTCGGTGCTCGAAGTTCGATCCTCACTCCTCGAGAGTCAATAACAGGGGATATGTCGACCCCTATCCCAGGCTTCGTAGGGTTTCCGAATGGACCAGAAATTTGGGGCCCAACCCTGGGATATACGATGGGGGGGTGCCCATCCTCGATAGGGGTGCGTCCGAATAGCCCCCTTGGGGTGTATCCCAGGGTTTTTCAATTTTTCTGAACGGCCAATCTTTTTGGGCGAAACTCGGGGATTCGGGGAGAAACATCGCCTGCGAGTCAAGTCCTCGAAGCCTCGGTCCACGAGCCCCGGCGGTCCTCGACCCACGAGGCTCGGAGCGGCGATCCCCAGAGCCTCGGGGCTCGATCCTCGGCCCTCCGAGCCCGAGCCCCCCCCCGCCTCTCGAGCCTCGATCCCGGCCGTGGCCCTCGGCCCCCGAAGCTCGGGTTATGTCGGGCAGGCAGGCCCCCCTACAGGCCGTCGTTGGAGGAGAGAACAAAAACGCACAGAATAGCCAACAAAAACGTCGACGTCCAAAACTCGTCCACAAATACTCAAAAATAGCCACAACGTAGACAAAAGTTCGCCCCCAGACTATTTTTGGACTAGTCCCACCAGCCCTTTGGGCGTGAGTGGTTTAGCGAGCTCTCTCTCTGTTCTCAACCCCCCTTCTTCCCCTTCGGGGAGGGGTTTACCCCTCCCCCTACCCCCTCCCCCTGGACCTGGAGAGGTCCTTCCGCGGGTGGTTGGAGGGTTTTTTTTCGACTCCTGGGAGGGCTAAAAAACGACACCCCTCACGAGGATTCTGGCCCCGACGGGGGGAGGGAGAAAAAACCCGCCCCATCTGTGATCGATCGCCCGAAAGATGGCCCCAAGATACCTCCCAGACCCCTCCCAAAGAGCCCCCAGAGGCCCCAAGAGGCCTCCAAGAGGCCCCCAAGAGGCCCCCAAGAGGCTCCCAAGAGGCCCCAAGAGGCTCCCCCGAGGCACCCAAGACGCTCCTGGAAGCCCCTGGGGCCGCCGAGAGGCCCTCAAGACGCCCCAAACGGCCTCCAAGAGGCTCCCAAGAAGCCCGAAGAGGCTCCCCCAAGGCACCCAAGACGCTTCTCGAAGCCCCTGGGGCCGCCAAGAGGCCCCCAAGAGGCCCCAAAAGGTCTCCAAGAGGCTCCGTGAAGACATCTACTTCTACTTCTACTACTACTACTACTACTACTACTACTACTACTACTACTACTACTACTACTACTACTACTACTACTACTACTACTACGACTACTACTACTACTACTACTACTACTACTACTACTACTACTACTACTACTACTACTACTACTAATAATACTAATACTACTACTACTACTACTACTACTACTACTACTACTACTACTACTACTACTACTACTACTACTACTACTACTACTACTACTACTACTACTACTACTACTACTACTACTACTACTACTACTACTACTACTACTACTAC